TAACTGGAAAGTCAGACTCTCATGAGAAGCCGCTTATGGTGCCCCACAGGCCGTCATGGTTCATCATGAGTTACTCATAACTGGAAAGGCAGATTCTCATGAGAAGCCGCTTATGGTGCCCCACAGGCCGTCATGGTTCGGAGGGTCGCGAGCACCTACCTCTCCTGGAGCAGATATATGTCCACTTGGACCTCTGGGGCTGTTCCTGGTGACTGTGCCTCACAGAGCTCCTGGGGTAAGAGGGCCGTGAGGATGACCTGGTGAAAAGGACAAGGGAGACAGGCTGCCTCAGCTTCCCAACGCGGTTCATTACAGTTTTCCTTCACGTTGGCACATCCACACACTACACTGTGTTGCAAGGGGTTTCAAAGCCTTGGAGCACAAACAGTAGCATGGGTGTAACTCCAGGGAACAGTACAGTCTGTTGCTGGGTTTTTTTTTCCTCTGACTGCCTCGCCGCTTGTTCCAGAGAACTGGTCTGACATGGTAGCGCTGCCAGCCACCCGTATCTTATGGGATTGTCCCGTATTGAAAAATTAAATGCTGTGTTCTATTTTCAACTAATTCGTGACTGATGTGATTTTTTTGTGAATGCACAGCAAGTTTTATCATCGGTGACCCTGGGGGGGGGGGGGGGGGTTTGGCTTCCTGCATTTCTTCAGCTTGGAACTGGAAACCCTAATTGCTGGTGTCTGTCACTGTTAACACTCAGGCCTGCATTCTGTGTGTTCTGCTGGATGGCAGTGAAAGAAGCTCATAGGATTTCCTGCTTTAGTTGGCACACTGTAAACAGAGTTTACGGTACACAATAAATTCTTTTTAAATCGTCTTTTATTTTGCTTATCCACAATATCACCTTTTTCAAAATATGTTGTAGCTGCTGTGCTGCCGCATTCCTCTGAGCGAGCGCTAATCTTTCCCCATGACTCACATACATTACCAAAACAGTAGCATGCGGCATGCTCCACTAACTCAAACTTGCTGTGTGTTTGTTGGCATAGGGTGACTGTTTTTAAAAGATTATCATATGATTGATTGCAGGGCTATCGTTCAGTAAACCTAAAACTAAAGTAAAATAAGATACGAATATAAAATCCGACCCATAAAATAACACTTTTAGTCTATCTCAGAAGGATTTACTAAATTGTAAACTGAAATATAGGGCTATGAAAACAACACAGAAAAATACCTTAAAAATAACAACTGATATAACCACAATGAAAAATAAAACTAAACCAGATTACAAATGAAAACTGATACAGGCAAACACCAACAGCTCCTTTCTGTTATAACTCGTATAGCCCTTCCAAAAAGGCGGAGCTCTTGGGGATGGTGTTTGGCTCATCTAGTTAGAAACCTGTGCCCGTATTTAGAAGGTTGCTGGTTCGAATCCCAGGACTGACAGAATGATGCTGCCATTGGGTCCTTGTGCAAGGCTTGTGACCCCCAACTGCTGGGACCCCTAGGCTTGCTGTGTGTGTCTCACGAAGAGCAAGATGGGATAAGTGAAAAAACAATTTCCCTATGGGGATGAATACGATATCATGACTATATTCTATTTGTGTGGGGGGGGGGAAATCACAAATGTTTCGGCAGACTGAAATGTCTGTGGAAAATAACCTGGCACACACTCATGAAGCAGATGGGGAATGTGACACCTGCTAGCAGGACACTGACCTGTTACCTGACGAAGAAGACATTCCGTTTCTTTGGTCCCTCTGCGTTTTCCCCACCCTGGGCTCGTTATTCCCATCCCTGTGTCCCCGCTGAGATCTTGTCTGGCTCATATCTGCCAATTACAAGAAAAACATGTAACTTATTTTGTCCCTTGAAAGGCAACAAGCTACCACAATGATCCATCTTTCATTTCCACTCATCAGGGGTGTTGTCCACGGACAAGTAAACTTAGAAAATCCACTTGTCCGCCAGTTAAATTCACTTGCCCACAAACAAATAACAAAAGTGAAAAGGTTTATTTTTTCTGATCTCTTTTATTGATACCAAAACTGCCTTCCATTTTAAAACTGAAAAAAGTTCTTTCAGGGAGTATTGTGCAACTTTGCTCTAGAACATTAAATAAAAGATTTTTTTTTTTAATCATACTCACGGTCCCTTTCAGTTTTTGTTTTTTCTTTTCTTGCCCTCATTGTCAGTTTTTTTAGGGCCTGTTGTGCCAATTTTAATCAAGAAACGATTCATTTCTCATCCGTGATGCTACTTGCTTCAGTTTCAGCAACACGCAAATAGCGAGAAAAACGTGCTTACCGCAGTGCATTATGGGTTACGCACGGTAATTCCTAATGACGTATTCGAAATTCCACAAGATGTTACATTTCCAAAGAAGTAAATATTACCGATGTTGTCGGGAAAAAATTATCGCGTCTAAGTTAAGATTTTTACAGATATTTGGAAACCGTTATAATGTTTTATTTTTAATAAACTGACAGCGCGAAACCAACTTGTTTTATATGAAAAATTCTCTAATCAAAAACGATCTATAGACAGCTCATCAAAATTGATGTCACGCAATAAATTTCTTAACTCCTCAATATATCACAACCAACCAATAATATATAAAAGTTATCGATTATAATGAAAAATCATCAGATTAGCCTACATCGTAATGTTGGCATGAAAAAAATGACCGCATCTCCAAGCGTGTAAACCAATAGGGTAAAATACTTATGTATGACGTAAGAGTGCTTCCCCTTTGAAAAATCAGCCGTCATTTTGTAAACAATATTGAAGACCAATTTGAGACATGAAGTCTACATGAAGTAGACTGTTTCCGCACGAAGTAGGCCTACGCACTCAAATGTTTAAAATGTGAAAGTAGTGGTAAAACACATACAATTATTTTTTCTCCAGAAAAATGCACTTGTCCGCGGACAACTGAAACCAGAAAAACACGCTTGTCCGACGGTCAATTTACCCGTGTCGGACGGGTCGAGCGTTGGATTTCCGCACCCCTGACTCATCTTAAGTGGGAGCCCTGGGCTGACATCAGTATGGACCCTGAGTTGCCTGTAAGTGCTCCATTTTCCCAGAGAGGAGGAGGAGGAGGGGGGGGGGGGGGGGGGGGGGGGGGGGGGGGGGGGGCTGGTGTTCGCTGGAGCTACAGGCTATATCAGGGGTGGGCAATTTTATCCGCAAAGGGCCAGTGTGTATGCAGGTTTTCGCTGCAACTCCCTAATTAGATTACTAATTAGAGGACTGATTGGCTGAAGAGTCCTCACACGTGGGTTTGAAACACTGACCTAAAGGTTATCCAGTCCTGTAGGGACAGTGCCCTGCACATTTTTGGGTTTCCTCTCATTTAACACACCTGATTCAACTCCTTGTGCTAATTACCACAGCTCTTGAGCTGAATCATTTATGGTGGAACAGGGAAAGAACTAAGCTACACGGGGCTACAGCCCTCCAGGACGTTATCCCGCCCCTCCATCCACTTATTCAGTAAAAATCAGAGCAAAACAGAAAACCTTTACTGACACAGGTACACACTAAGTGACCAGTTTCCCTGAACAGCGTGTCTTTCAGTTTGTGGGAACAATCAGGACTACCCGGGCGAAACTCATCCAAAACGCGAGTATGTTACGCAACAGTGGGGCCGCCTCCTAATCACAACACGTCATATGATATCCACAAAACTCTCAAAATTCAGCGTAACATTACAAAAAACGGACAATCATTTCCGGGGAAGATTGTTCAGTTCCTTTGAATGGTTCTGAAACATTCCAAGAAACAAGACATCAATATAACAATGTAGCCTATGCTCCGCAGTCAGCGCGTTGCTACAAGGGTCTGGCAAACCAAAAACGAAATGGAAAAAATAAACATAAAAAATAAATCAACTACATAGGTGAAATCACTGATAGATCACGATTACACATTCAACTTATGTTATAGGCTAGAATCACAGATCAGAAACAGACTGACCAAACACATTGTAATTTAACCCAATTTTTAGAATGAAAAAATTACAAAAGCAACATACTTACTGAACTTGGAAAAGGCAGGCAGTATTTACCGTGGGAGCCCTTATGCGGATCATAGTGCGCTGGCGAAGCTCTCGCGATCACCTGCTGTCCGCGGTCACCCCACCCAGGGAGGAGGCGGGGCACGACGCAGGTAGCCTGCTCCGGAGCCGAGGGAACCGTCCCAGGATCGGCCGCTTGCGGAAACACTGCTCCTTTGTCACCAGTCTTAAGAAACGGCCGCTTTGTTCAGCATCGGTTCGATCAACAAGCATGACGAAACTTTTGGGACGAACTCGGTGCCGATCTGTCACAGCCTTCACTAGTCTATGTCCAAAAGGAGATAAACAACCAGGAATGTCTCATTTCCTCATTTCTACGGTTATTGTAATTAAACTGAAACTGGAAATGAATCACTGAATATTGGTTGCTTGAGGGAAATACCTTCAGTTGTACTTTTCTAAATAGCAATAGCAATATGACAATAGTTGTGCAAAAACTTGAACGGGTTTTCCGTAAACCTTTTTTTAACAGTAAAACGCCAGAAGTAATAAATCGTTTATACACGCCTGCCTTGAACACTTTTACTCTCAATTTCACAACGTATTATCAAGCTTTATATTAATATTTTTAAATTATATCATACTTACTCCCTGGCAGAGCTACTGCATCTTACGGACGTAAGTGCGCTAGCGCAATTGCAGTAAAAAAATATATATATATTTTAGAAGTCCGACGCAAAAGACGGACTTTATGTCATATGATGTCCTCTAGTGGAGGCAACTTGTTACAACAACTCTTTTCATAATGCAGTACGTATTTCAGGCAGACGTTTGCAATCAATGCCCCCAAGCTTTGGAATAAATTACCCCTCATGTTGTCATCTTAAATCTAATCTCTAAACATATTTTTATTCCTTAGCTTTTAACTCAGTTTGAGAGCTTTTTTGTTGTCCAATTAGAAATTGTGCATATATAAATGTGTTTTTTTTTATATATCTATTACTTATTTCTATCCTCTGTTTTACTCTTCTGTTTCGTTAGTTTCAACCTCATTTGACCAGGCTTCGATCCCAAGAGTTATAGAAGCTTTTGGCGCTGTGGTTGTTTTGGGGCACTGTCCATGTGTTTATATTTAATGCATTTGTATCTTCTTGTCATCTGCGTATGTGACATAAATCATATTGTCCAGCACTTTGGTCGACTGCGGTTGTTTTAAATGTGCTTTATAAATAAAACTGAACTTGAATTTTAATGTATAATCCCCTTTGTGTCCTTGGGAAGAAGCTTTTCTTGCCGGTGGGATGTGAAATATTTTTCTCTCGGTATCTTGATCGCGACACAGGACTCTAAATAGAAGTCATGTAAGAAATACGTTCGATATGAGTATGTCCTCCCGTTCGATTAAGGACAAAAGGAAATTGATAAAAATACACAAAGCGTATAATAGACGAAGGCGCGTTAATTAAGTTCTCATAACTGATGAATGGACGTTAAACCCACGGAATAATCCGACCTTTGACCTGACCCGACCAAGTCACCTACAAAAACAGGGGAACTCCTCCGTCTGGTGCGGTGGCTGGAAAGATGGATTCGGGATTTGAAGACTTAGAGCTGAGGGAGGCTCAGCGGGAATACCTGGATTTTCTTGATGACGATGTAAGTGGACATCAGTTAACTTAACCGTGTCGGGCTCCTTTGGTGGTTATTGGCGCGGTGAAACGTGAAATATTTTGGGTGACTACAGTCAAAGGAGACTAAAATGGTGTATCTACCTTCTGTCAGCAAGATCAAGGGATTTACCATGAGAAAGTCAGAAACATGGTGTCTGAATGCCGCTGTCGTCTGATTGTAAACATCAACGATTTGAGAAGAAGGAACGAGAGAAGGGCTAAGGCGTAAGCATGGAGAAGGAATAATTAAACTCACTTTGATCCAAACTTAAACTCTCCATTTCTAAGCACTGGTGTTTAAACGCAAAAAGTTTTATTGGGGCAGGTCAATTGGGTAAGATTTGTGGTCTGAAACAAGCAAAACATGTACGGTGATGGTAGATTTCTTAAAAAGTGTGTAAATGACGGGACAGTGCACTGGAGTGTCTTCTTTTGATGTGATTTATACTTTGGTGATTCATCTGACATACACCGTGTTTCAGTTTGCTTAAGGACGCTTTCCTTGAGGTCGTGGCAATACAGAAAGCCTTGAAGGATCTGGTGGCGTCCATAGACGGCACCTATGCCAAGCAGTTCGATGAATTCTATGTTGGCTTTGAAGGCAGCTTCGGAACCAAACACGTCTCTCCTCGAATCCTTTCTGCACGCTTTCTTGGAAACCTTGTCTGTTTGGAGGGAATCGTTACCAAATGTAAGTTGCCTTTGTTTTTCCTGGCTTTTAAGATGTAGATGTTTAAAAGCTGCATATCTGCCTATTTGAAATCAGGGGGGAAACGACCCAAATGAATGAAGCCTATTCTACCAGCTACCAATACATTCAGTAACAAATGTTTCAACCCAGTATTTACTAAATAAACAGGTCTACCACATAAATGGTTTGTATCCTTTCAGATTCGGGTACAAGGATTTATCTATCCATCCATTTTCTGCAACCGATTGTCCTGTTCAGGGTCGCAGGGGGTCCGGAGACCATACAAGGATTTAATTTTTTAAATTTAAATTGAAATGCTCTAGACCTACTTGCTGAGCTACAGGAGCCAGGCCTATATAACAGGCGGGGATGCTCACCACTGTACTAACAATGAGATTGCTTTGAACTTACTACGAAGGACTCAATAGGACTCTACTCAATTATGACTACAGTCGTGATACACCCATTATTCGTGTGTCGAGGATATCTGCGAGTTTAGCAGATATTCTTTCTTGAAGGCTCTTTGGTAAGGCCCAAGATCACACGGAGTGTCCACTACTGCCCGGCCACCAAGAAGACGCTGGAGCGCAAATACACTGATCTCACGTCGCTGGACGCTTTCCCGTCCAGCGCCATCTACCCGACGAAGGTGGGTGCTGTCAGGTAATTACTCCCTAGCGGCTCAGCATTAAACTTCCAAAAAATATTGACGTGTACATATTTTGCTGTCCTGTTAAATACTCGACATAGCGTGTTGGCATCAAGTTACCTCCAAGTTCCACTGTCAAATGGTCAAATTTTGTATTACGCATAAAGGTCCTTGCTTTGAATTGTTGCTTATTGGATGCATCGTCATTTAGTCCTTGTCAGAAGAAGGGTCTTCTAAACGCATGTAAATATACTTGGTGTTAACTGTCCCAAAATCCCAATGCCTTATAAATGGTACTCTGCTGAAAATGGACATCTCATGGAACAGGACGAGGAGAACAACCCCCTGGAGACGGAGTTTGGCCTCTGTACGTACAAGGACCACCAGACACTCACCATCCAAGAGATGCCTGAGAAGGCCCCTGCTGGACAGCTGCCCCGCTCCGTGGACATCATCGCTAACGATGACCTGGTGGACAAAGTGAAGCCGGGGGACCGGGTGCAGCTGGTGGGGGTTTACCGTTGTCTGCCAGCGAAGCAGGGCGGCTTCACCTCCGGTACTTTCCGGTAAGAGGGAGCCGTGGCTTGGTACCATATAAGCTTTCGGTTTGATCTGCAGGATCTTTGAAAGAAAATTGTGATGAGATACACACAACTATGCAGGACAATTCTCTTGGTCAACAACGTGAAGCTCATGAGCAAGGAAATTGTCCCGACGTTTTCTGCTGACGACATCGGTAAGATCAAGAAGTTCTGCAAAGCCCATTCCAAAGTGAGTACTCTTTGCAGTTTCCTTAAGGCTGATCTGTACTTAGGCGTCAATTCGACGCCCTTGGCATCATAGTGACAGGTCTACAAAACACTCAGGATAGCAGTGCCAATTTCACTTACCGCCATTAATTTCATTCATACTTTAGAAGACTAAGAAGTGAGCAGCACTGTAGACACTAACTATAGAAGGGAAAATGCATAAAAAGTGACTATGTATTGGTTTGACATTTTTCAAAATTTTGTCCGTGGGAAGCTTGGAGCAGCACAAATATAACCAGGACTCAATAAACGGATACTTAAATGTTTTTTTTTTTTTTTTTTTTTTAAACCTTTTTTCATGGTTTAACATGCAGATTTAACAATTGAATATATCGCGCTGGGTGGGAAGACAATGAATGCAACATCCAAAACTATATATCGTTTTGGCAGAGTATTTGCTGAGTAACACACACCCTCACATATGTATAAATGTTCGTAGTAGCGTAGGTCGTAGCGTGGGTTTGACACGGATGTATGAATCGGCCTTTAATCGTATGCTGATTAGTTGGGTGCCCCCTAGTGTTACCAAAATGCTCTCATCCATGGATTCATTGTGGGCACTTCTGAGACAGTTGGTGGTTAAATAACATATTATGTGGGATACAGAACTAATATGGGAAGCTTGCAGAGAACAGAATTGTACAGCTGGTAAGGAAAATTAGTGGTTTTTCCAGAGCTGTAAATAAAAACAGACTGTAAACAGCAGCTGTGGTCCTATTTCGGTATAGTAGAGTGCAGCTTTTCCCAACCCAGTTCTCGGGGTCCCCCAGACAGTCCACAGTGGTAGCTAAAATGTGGTCTGTCTGGGGGTCCCCGGATTGGGAAACACTGGCATCATGCATGTGTGGCTGAGTTTTACATTCTGCATTTATTTTGGCAGGATGTCTTTGAGTATCTCAGCAGATCCCTAGCCCCCAGCATCCATGGGCATGAGTACATCAAGAAGGCCATCCTCTGCCTGCTGCTGGGTGGGAATGAAACCAAGCTAGAAAACGGGACACGAATCCGGGGGGATATCAACATACTGCTGATAGGTGAGGGTGCTTTCGGCAGGTCTGAGGTCAGTGCTTTAGTCGTTTGAGATCTGCCACCAGCTATCAGGAAATCAAGGCACTTAATTATCATTTCACAAGTATGAAGTGAAATTGCAATTCTTCAGTGTCAGACAGCTAGAACAAATAACAATTGAACAATAAATACTTGGGGTGGTGAGTGGTAAAATAAATAAATAAAAAAAACAATATACAATAATACAGTGATTTGGTGCAAGTAGTACCTAATGATTCTCTGGTATCGTGCCGCTCCTTGGACGTTGTGGCTGTCAGGTGACCCATCGGTGGCAAAATCCCAGCTCCTACGCTACGTGCTGTTCACTGCCCCACGGGCAATACCCACCACGGGTCGAGGGTCATCCGGGGTGGGTCTGACTGCCGCAGTGACCACCGACTCAGAGACTGGTATGGCTGTACTATCTCTCAACCTCAGCTGAATGAGTCTCCAGTCCCTTAACAGCAGCACTGTCTGTACTTAATGCAACGTGACTCTGCTTGTACGTGATTGGTGCACGCAGGAGAGCGACGCCTGGAGGCGGGGGCCATGGTGCTGGCAGACAGGGGCGTGGTGTGTATTGACGAGTTCGACAAGATGTCTGATATGGACCGTACCGCCATTCACGAGGTGATGGAGCAGGGACGAGTCACCATCGCCAAGGCTGGAATCCAAGCGCGCCTAAATGCACGCTGCAGTGTGCTTGCTGCTGCCAATCCCGTCTACGGCCGGGTGAGGCATCACAGGGCGAATCTGGATTATATGTTGAGGATGAATCTTTAGACTGACATGGAAAAACCTGATGCTTGAGATTTCTGCCACACAGTATGACCAGTACAAGACTCCCATGGATAACATTGGGCTCCAGGACTCTCTGCTGTCCAGGTTCGACCTGCTGTTCATCGTGCTGGACCAGATGGACGCAGACAGCGACAGAGAGATCTCTGAGCACGTTCTGCGCATGCACCGCTACAGGACACCAGGGGAGCAGGAAGGAGCTGGTAGGAGAGCCCATGATCATATATGAAGGGTCATGGATTGATAATAGGAATGTAACGGTACACGTACTTGTGCCTAAAATTTTCGGTACGGGTCTTCCAGTTCGGTGTGCATACAGTATATACTGAACGAATGCAGCAAATGCGGAACTTTTTATATGTTTGTGTGTTTCGCCCGAGCAACATTCAGAAAGGGTCGGGTGAAGCTGCACTTTTGAGACCATATTTATGTTGCACAGTTCTAATATGAAGCTGAAAGCTGTTAATGTGAATACAGTACAGATCAGGTGCAGTTAATTTTCTAAATGTGCACCTTAATGGATATTTTATTTTTATTTACGTGACAATATTTATTTTGATTTACTTTTAAGTGAATTTTAGTTTTATCAGTTGGTTGTGGCAGTATAGACAGAAACTTCATTTAAGAAAGACAGTCATACTTTGTTCAAGTCCCAGGTGGTACCCAGCAGTAACCCTCTCCTCCCATTCGCAGCCATGCCGCTGGGAAGCACTGTTGACTTGTTCGCCATGGAGGATCCCAACATAACAGAGGCAACAGACCAGGAGCTGCAGATCTATGAGAAGAAGGACAACCTTCTGCATGGACACAAGAGGAAAAAGTGTGTGAGCCCATGTCATGAGAATTTAAATATGTTCTGCATTGTAAATTTGGGTATGATGGCCGAGGCTATAACCCAAACTAAAGTATCCTCAAAGTGCTGCTTTTGACTAAGTCATGGTTCTGGGTTTTGGGGGGTGTGTGTGTGTGATTCAGGTTGGTAGGCAAAGCACCAGTAACAGTAAAGTTAGACCGTAAAGAACAGGTTTTCAGAAACGCTTGCCCAGAATTGTGCTCTTATGTTGGTTGTAACCCATGAATCTATGGCCTGTCCTTTGTTGTGACAGGGAGAAGATAGTGACCATGGAATTCATTAAAAAGTACATCCATGTGGCCAAGCTGGTGAAACCGGTGCTGACCCAGGAGGCCTCGGATCACATAGCCGAGGAATATTCTAGGCTCCGGAGCCACGATCAAGTCAACTCGGACACCGCACGAGTAAACCCGACCCCCTCCTGTTTGTTTACTGCTACCTTGTAGCTACAGCGTGGTGGTGATTGTGATGACAATGATATAGCTTCTGTAGCTCAACAAGTAAAGCATTGTGCTAACGATGCAAGGAGTGTGGCTTTGAATTTCAGGGAACACACACAAACTGTAGCCCTACCCCCTTCTTGCTTCACTTTGGATAAAAGCATCAGATAAATGAATAAATGTTTCCCACATTCCCACTAGCAAAAGATGGTCATGTTTCAATGTTCTCCAAAGGGCTAAAATTCTGTAGCTAACGTACCATTAGCTCTGCCTGAAGTAGTTTGTAGACTGTTGGGAACCGCCTTTGTAACATGGAGACTTCAGGTATGTGTCCATCCTGCAGACAATACCTGTAACAGCTAGAGCCCTGGAGACCATGATCCGCTTGGCGACGGCCCATGCCAAGGCACGCATGAGCAAAACCATCGATATGGTCGACGCAGAGGCTGCATTGGAGCTCATACAGTTCGCTTACTTTAAGAGGGTAAATCTGCCCGGCTCCACACCCCTCTCATAATGATGGTTTCCAGCAAACAAGATGCCAGCAGTTTTTGGGGCAATACCGAAGCTTACTATGGCAATGAACTAAGCATCATGTTGGGTTGATTTGCAGCCCTGTTAACTGAGTTAGCAAATGTACAACTCGGACTTCAACAAGAGAATGAAAGGTTGGGTTCAGTGAAATGTTTGACAATGGAGCCAGTCTCATCAACTCCATAGATCATGGAGAAAGAGAGAAAAAAGAAGGTTCCAGATGACAACATGGACATCGACGTGTCACAGAGCCAAGACCAGGCCAGCCAGAGAAGCACAAGGTTAGATTTCTCTTATGAGTGTTTCCAGTGGAGCTGTACTAGCCTATGGCCTGGAGTAGATAATACAGCAGAAACAGTACTTTGAAGGTCTGAAGATAAGCCTGTCAACTTAATCTGCTGCCCTCTGACCCAGGAAGCGCTCCCGTTTCTCAAAAGATGACATGGATGTAACTGATGTGGGGGATGAGTCTGACCCATATGACTTCAGTGGCGATGAGCAACAGAGTAAGTGGTGCTTTTTCTCCAAGTTTGAGGTTATCCAGCGTACTTATAGCCTGAGGAAGCTTTACCCTGGAATACCAGGTGGAACGAAATCGTGGGACTGAAATCATTCATTCATTGTTAGAGAAACACAAAAGCTTCTGAATGAAATGTTACTTGATACCAGATGATGCTGAATGAATTGTGCCTTAGCTGAATCCAGCCAGAAGCCCAAACCTACACCTCTAAGAAGCAGCCAGAGAAAGGCGGGGATTGGACAGGACCGGTACAGTTTTCCTGCTTTTCTTGTCTTTGGGGAAAGAGAGTGGTGGGTGCTAATGTAGACGTAGTATAAAGATGCACATCAATCTTCCGTACCACTTGGTACAGGGACATGGTGAGCCTGGAGCCTATCCCAGGAAGCACTGGGCCCAAAATGGGGAGCATTCTGGATGGGATTTCAGTCCTTTACAAGAAACACACTCACTACAGACAGTTTAGGAACCAGACTGCTTGGCTGTATTTTTGGAACTGCGGAAGGAAATCTGTGTACTTGGAGAACAGGAACACCCAACACAGAGTGGGGGGGGGGGGGGGCAGGATTTCGAACCCTAACCTTAGATGTTCTAACCGCTGAGCAACACATGCTATATGATGAGAACCAGTTGTTCAGATTCTGCTTCTCTCACACTGACTTTTCTAGACTGAAGGAGTTCAAGACTGTGTTGCTGAAGGCGTTCAAAGCGACTCGCTCACAGTCCATTGCTATCCCTGAGCTGCTGATGCACATCAACAAGAGCCAGGTGGAGGCCTTCGAGGAGGAGGAGGTGAAGAAGTTGCTGGGCCGCATGCAGGACGACAACCAGGTCATGCTGTCTGAAGGCGTGGTATTCCTCATCTGAAGCCCTCCCTGGGTTCTTCACCAGTTTCACTGTATATTTGTCTCTGCACTTTTTGCATTAATAAATCAATTGAGTATAAATGGATTCATTTTCTTGTTGGGTATCTTGGGTCAGCTCTTTACTATTAAAGCAATGATATAAAAAGGTTTCAAATGGACTTTTGGAAGGCACAGAACTATGTTTGCTAGATAATAGCTAATCTAAATTTAACCACTACACCTCTTGGGTTTGGTAATTCAAAGCTTGATAATGATGACAGCTTATTAAATGCATATTTAAAATGATTTATGTTCTTTAGTTTTGGTATTAATTGTGGCCATATGTTAGCATGCAGCTAAAAGCAGCATGAATGGTTCCATGCAGAGCTCTACTGTAAAGAGGCCTTCAAATATTTGTATAACATTTTAGTGAAGCAGTCTGTCCATAATCCTGATCACAACTTAAGCAATTTCCTGAGATGAACTGTTGGCCTGTTTTTTTTTGGTATTTATTAGGCATCATAAATACATGTTCTATCACGCGTGTTTTCATAGACATCCTCTGTACTTTAACTCATTCCTGTAGCTTGGAAAAAGAAAATTTACATTTCAGTGAGAGGTGAAGGAAGCAGTGAATTCAGTTTAGCGTTTTAATTTGACTGAAAAGGAAGTTTTTTTTTTATTGGTTCAGTCATTCTCAGGAGCAGATGAGGATTAAGGGCCTTGCTAATTACTAATTACTGCAGGGCCTATGATTTGAGCTGGCAGCCTTGTAATCTCAAGCCCAGCATCCTAACCAGCTGAGCCATTCGCCACCTTCTATTTAGGTCTAAAGGATTTCTTTTAAAATGATTCCCTTTGATTCCAGACATGCTCTTTACAGCTTAGCATGCCTACAGGATGTGAGATGGCACAGTGACTGTTTTACATGTTGCTGCTTACACTGCTTCCTGTAACACACACATTTTGAAGCACTGCTTCTCCCTCCAGCTACCTGTTGTACTTCCTGGCATGTGCTATGCTGCCAGAGACCACAACCAAAGCAGCCAGCATGAACATGGATGCTGCTATTGCAGATACCACCAGGGGGTGCTGGAGGGGAGAGGTTCCCCTCTGATTCTGCCTGTGATCAGATAGCATAGCTCCAGCTGACCATGGCTATGTGTTGCTCTAATCATTGCTGGTGTGATGCTCTGTAGGTACCAGACCCTGTTCCTTGCTGTCATGTTACGTCTCATCTCAGCCCAGTCCCCTTCCTGAAATGATGCAGCCATTTCTGTATAGTATTTATATCATTTATGGAATTTAAAATGGGTACACAACACAGTAGTTGTATCCTTTTAATACTACTACCAATAATTTTTAAGGTGCCTTTCAGGACACATTAGTTCACTTCACAATAATAAAAACAATAACAGCAATAAGATCAGACAAAGTAGTAAGTCATGAGTTTTCTAGTAGATGGACTCAAAGTGAATAAGCCAGTGTAAAAAGAAGAGTTTTAATGGCAGTTTCAAATTGTGTTATAGAGTCCAACTGACACATGAGAGGGAAAAGCCTTCCAAAGTTTGGGTGCGGTGTGCAGAGGTCTGCAGAAATGGTGAATAATAAGATAAGTGAGACATCATTAGTAATGACCTACGAAACTGGAGGAAATATCAGCACACACATGGAACAGGGTTTGACTTCCCTTCTCATTGGCCTGTTTTTTTTCTTTTCTTTTCTTTAGCATGTACAATATTTTTGGTATTGCCAATGCTCACCAACAACATCTTACATCCCTGGACCAGTGGGGATGCTCCACTGATTGGACATTTGATAGTGGATGTCTGGGTTTTTGTCCAACAGCATTGTGGTGGTCTGCTACTCTGCTACCATAGACAAGGCCACTGGGGCATGTCATCATCAAGCCTGGATGTCAGTTGGACACAGATGCCGAGGTTTCTGGGGCTGTCCGTCTTTCTGTTGAGGTATAGAGCTCTAGGGAGAGGAACTGAGGGCGGGTGATCATTTCGCCCAGTAGAACTATTGCTAGGAGACGCTCAAAACCTTTGATGTGCCTCATGTGCACTAGGCATTTGGTCTCTGAGAGGTTTATGTCATCAATAGATCCTCCCCTCAGGGAGTCACTGGGGCCTTTGCTGGCAATGAATACAACTCAGAACTTTCTGGAAACATTCAGACTAGTGTGATGAAGCTGCCAGAACTCCACAGGGGGAATAAAAAGAGAAAATGGAGACTGTCAACACAACGAGGTCAAGCAACAAATTAGTACTTTTTTGAGAAACAGTATAAAAACATATTTGAGTAAAGTGATGCTTTGTTGGGAAATACAGAACTGAAGTAAAAGCTGAAAGGTACAGAAGAAAAAATGTTTGCATTTCAGGCCACAGACCTTATCATTGTTTATGTAGCAGTAAAACTGAAAGTTTTAACCCGACCTGTGTCTGTACTACATAAATGCAGGTTGAAAATGTATTTATTACAAAGTTCACTCCCTTCTTTTGATCTTTGCCCTTGCAGCTGTATTTCTGGTGCCTAATTCATTGTCTTTGTACCTACAAACATTCAGGAAAACTGAACTATGAAGAGTGAAGCAGCATGTTTCATCATTCCCATGCCTACCAGAGGCCCTCCTGACTCGCCGTGCCCTGAGGGTTGACGTCGTCATATTCTCAGACCTACATGTAAAGCCTGTCACTGCTGCTCCCGCTGTTGTTGTTTTCAGCTGTTTTCAGTGTTTTATTAGAAACATATTACATTATGAAAAATGACACAAATTATTCTTGGTATCCAGTCAGTAAGTTTTTGTATATGAGCACTAGTGCCATGTCAGTGTATATCTGTATCTGAATATAAATAAAGTTACAGAAATTATCCTAAATTCAGGATTCTTCTGGGAAAGTTTCTCAAGCATAGAAAACTTATCGGTTTGTCCTAAAACACTGTGAAGGCAAGCCCAAAGTCAAAGAGGTTGAGTGCCGTAGGTTCCATTGAATACTCAGTCATCATTTGAATTGATCCCATGGGCAGCTAGCCTTGCACTTGCCCATGATAGTGTAGTCGGTACGAGGTCCTGATTGGACTCCTGTCACTCGCTCCCAGTTGCCATTATTGTTTTTGTTCTGGACAATCCCACAGATGTCGGCCTGCTCCAAACTGCAGGAGTCCAGGAAGGTGGATGTTGTGGTTGTGGAGGAACACAGGGTGCTCTTTTCAGGACATGGTGCTTTGTTTCATCTCCCATTTCTCTCCTGAGAGAATTTCTTATCCCTAAGATTCACATCCAATTACCTGAAGAATATTCTTTATATTACCAAGATCCTCAAAAGTGTTGGCAAAATTATGATATTCCCCATAACTACACATATGGCCACAGTATGTTAGCAGTATGTATGTAATAAAGGGATGTGCTGTGTGTGGAATAAATGTGTTTTTTTCTGTATAAATTATTACCTCATTGCTGCCATGTTTTGTCATTTGATGGCTGTCTGCTGATTATAAGCAAGTTAACATTTTTTACATATATTTTAAATTGACAGCAGAATTTGGCGTAACCTGCTGACAGTGTCAAATGTGTCAGGTCAGGAGACCTATTGCAATTGTACAGTCTGTTCAGCTTCATCAGGTCACTGTCGCTGAACTCCATGTGCCGACCAATCACGTCCGCAAACTCTGTGATCCTTGTGACAATGGTGGGTTCCGAGCCCTTCTGGAAAGCGATCTTGCTGTAGTGCGTCAACGATTTGTAATCGTAGGGCACATTCAAGGGACTTGAGATGATGTCATTGTACTTTTTGAAGTTGTACTTGTTGCCTTCGGAGATTGAACAGACCCAACAGAATTTGTTGTGGCGGCACTTACATATTTAACTCTAATACTGGGTAAAGTGTACTGTGGATCTGAGGAACTTTAAAAGGTTCCACCCTGTCTCCACCTGCTGGAAGGCTGCAAAATACCTTCCTTTATGTGGTCAAGATGGTCAAGTGGTCATGCAAGAAACCCAGTGCATAGAGGAACTTGTGTTTGATGGTCAGGATGCTGTTGCGGTGTGCTCCAATGGAGATAATAGTTTTGGCCCTTATAGGAATTAGGGGTGTAACAATACATCGATTTGTATCGATATATTGATTCAACGGCAAATGATCCGATGCATCGATGTGACCACATAAATATCGATACATGCGTTTTTATTTTCTGGCCTGTTCCAGTATTGTTTTCATGATCCACTCCGACGTATACATGGTCTACACCAGGGGTGCCCAATACGTCGATCGCGATCTACTGGTCGATCGCAAAGGTAGTGTGGGTAGATCGTATGGCATAAAAAATAGAGGATGGGTGACGCGTTCAACCGCGCCAGCTGCTGCAAGCTACCGAGTGGCCTAGTTAGCCTCCAATTTATTTCTACTAAACTTAAGAAAGGGTATAAAAATGAATGGGGGAGCTGGACCAAGTAAGAAGCCTCTAGCACACAAGAGGGTCATACGAGCAGCTCATGACATTTATGGACATACTTTTTGTTACACTTTTGTATTTGTCTGGAGAAGACTTGATTCAAAATAAAAATTATTCACCATGTTAATCTACATCCATCCAAAGTTTTTATTTTTACCTTATTGCACTTTATTTTGCTTGATTTATGGGACATACTTGACTACACTAGATTCTGTTTAAAATATGATAAAATGTTAATTATATTTGCCTTTTTTAAACCATTGAAATGTAAAGGATTATGTGAAATTTCATCATTTCGACTACTATCCCCAGTATCGAACTGAATCGAATCGTATCGTAGGAATTTCTGAGGTATCAAAAAAAATCGAACCGTTGGCTTAAGGAATCGATACTGTATGGTATCGCGAGGAAAGCTGTGATTTACACCCCTAATAGGAATGCTCCCATTTTCCATACCTGAATGTTTATGCCTGTTAAATGCTACAATTTTGCTGTACTTAACAGGTGGTGTTGTGTGGTTCAGCAGGTTAAGATGTCTTGAGTATGACTGAAAAGTCATAGGTTCAAATCCTAGTGTCAACAGAGTAACTTCACCACTGGGCTTTTGAGTGAGACACTTAACCTTAACTGGTCCAGTGACTGACCAACACTGCCTTCGCAATTGTAAATGGCTTTAGATAAAAGCATGCACTGACAGACAGCTTTGATTACTTTATGTTGAAACTGTTTTGTAGAGCTAAAACTGCAATGTATATTTTTCTCATTCTCTGTGTAATCGGTAATTCTTAATCTGTCAAGTATAATTGTGGGATCAAGCCAGAGAGGAACCAGTAATGGTAATCTTACCTGCTGCCTCTAAATACAGAAATGTTCTGTCACCCTTTGAAAGTATGAAGTTGATGCAGGTCTTCAGTCAATACAAGCCAGAAGCCTTCAGGATCACTCCTATCGCATTGAGCTCTATCATGTCACATGTCAAACTGTCAGCCTGACAGCGACACTTTTAAAAGCCAAGGTGATTTAATATTTTACTGCCCTGAAACTAAAAAACGCTGATAACCAGCCATCAAGTCATAATGTAGGTCTAATTTAGTTTGGGTTTTCAGCCCAATGCATTGCAAAGTCCACTGTATCCATACTTAGGCTCTGGGTAGTCCTCTTGGTAGTAAGGGACAGTTGTTGGTGACCCATTCTTGTTACCCAGACTTGTGTTCTTGTCTTTGGTTTTGTCCGAATTAATGAATAATTGAATAATAAGAAGCTGATGCCTATGAACAACTTCAACTGATGTCCATGGTCTTAATGGAGCAGCAATAATCATGAAGAACAATTATGTAGCATGTGAGGTTCGAACAATTGACTTCAGCATCTGACTTCAAGTGTCTGACAAAGAAGATGCAAAACTGACCTTATCATACAAAAAAAAACCCCGTGTGTTAATGTGTGATGAAAGTGAAAAGGCCACTGCATCATTGGCTTGGACTTGTTAGTTTGCTTGGGGGCTGCTATCGAAGTGCTGGGGGCAGCCCTTGGCATGGGCGTAGTGGCCCTCCAGTGCAACAGCCAGCACCAGCGGTTGTGGATGAAATGAGGAGGGACGTCTGTCTCCGTGTGGAGAGGGAAGAGGGTGGCCCCCACGGCCCCTGAGGGAAGGCCCCCACGGCTCCTGAGGGAAGGCTCCCACTCATGACACAGCTACAACGCTGTCTAGGACCATGGAAAACAGCAGCATTAGTCACCGAGCCGTTTGACAGCCTGTGAGCGGCTCCAGCAGTACTTGTCATCAAGAAGGACGGTTCTTAGCACTTTTGTGTCAGTTATCGACGACAGAACACAATGACCTGGAAGGACTCCTATCCACTGCCACGGATTGAGCATTTTCCTCGTACCCTAGCCGCACAACTTGCGATCCTCTTCGGCCAGCACCAGCGTGACCGGGACCCACCAGGACAGCACCGGCTCCACATGCATTGCCCTCTTGTTTGGCCGTGAGCTGCACCCTGCTGGAGCTGATGTTCCCCCTGAGGAGGAAGCGCCGGTGACACCGGGACTGCACTAGCTGTGCCAGCTCTGGAAGCATGTGCAGACTGAGCAGGGGCCGGTCAGGCTAAACAGAAACAGGTATATGATGCCCACCGCTGGGGACAGGCCTTCCAACCCCCGGACTCTATTCTGGTGTACTGCCCCATCAGGAGGAAGAGGCGGTCATCCAAGCTGGACTGCCACTGGAGGAGTCCCAGGGAGGTCCTGGAGCCAATAACTGATGTGCTGTGCAGAGTGCAGATGCCAGAACAGTAAAGGACTGTCGTGTTGCATCACAATCGCCTGGCTCTGTACCAACACCTGGCCCACGCGGAGCACCCTTCTCTAGGACAAAGGGTGAGTACCCTGGCAGTTAAGGACTGAAGAGCACAGTGTTGGACTTGGGACCCAGCGGCCACAGAGGATTTGACGCAGCCCTGAATACTACCAGGACTTCGTGGGGTCACAATGACAGGAAACCCTGTATGCCTATTGTGTACATATGAATTCGCTCTTCGTCTTGCAATCATTGCTAGTTCCCCTTTTAATGTTACAGTATAGCTTTTGTTATAATTTCCCATCTGCTGTATTTCTGTACTTGTTACTCTTTTTTGTGTGCTGCTATGTGTTTGAGTACTCCCCCCCCTCGATCTCTCCGTGCCAAGGGCGGACACACGT